ATTGATTGTAGATCTAAGGAAGATGAAATTACTGGCCATTTCAATCTTTTTTCCCATCTATTATGATTTTGCCTCTTGGTCTAGTGGTAAGAATTTTTGTTTTCTGGATGTTGAGATGCAATCCATACTGAAAGTTGTATTCTTTGAACTTCTACATCAAGTGCTTCAATTTCTCCTCATTTTCAGCAAATAAGGTTGTTCTCATCAACAACAGAGCTTGTTGATGAGTTTTCCTCCAATCATGATGCCACATTCTTCTTCATAGAGTCTAGCTTCTTGAACGATTTGCTCAGCATACAGATTGAACTAGCAGTAATAAAAGCATATGAACTATGGTTATTATGAGGGCTAAAGGTTAAGAGTGGTGGGGAAATAGAGTGAATTGAAGGGAATGATTTTTTTTATGATAGAATAGTAAAGATAGAGTTATTAGAAAGCTCTATCCCCAAAGGGACAGATATTCCTCCTTGAAAGAAAATAAAGAGAAAGGCCAAACTGATATTATTTTGTGAGGGAGTGACTGGTGCTGATTTAGGATAGGACTAAGTTCTCTTACTCACAATATGTGTGACAGTGGGAGAAGGATTGGGAAAGGTGAACTGTGTGCATCTTTTTTCTGTAGCTGTATAACAAGCTACCTTAAAACATAATGCCTTAAAACAATCTACATTTTCATTTCTAATGAGTCTGTAGGCCAGCTGGGAGGGTCTACTAGTGTGGGCTGGCTCCGCCAACCTGGAGTGTCAGTCATGACAGCTGTGACAGTCAGGACTTCAGTCTGTGTCTCTCGCTTTCCAGCAGAGTAGCTCGGGCTTGTTCACATCTTGGTGGAAAGGTTGCCAGCAGCAAGAGACAGCATCTCCTACATGCACGCCCTGTTCAAGCCTCTGCTAGTATCACATGTGCGCGTGTCTCCAGCTCTAGAAAGAGACCTACTGGAAAAACCTTGTGGACACTCTGCAATGGGCTTACCAGGACTTCATGACTGAAGTTCTCATGCTTTAAAATGGAATTTTTGCTTAGAAAAGAGAGCTCATGTGGCCTGGTCTCTGAGGATGCCTTGGGGTTACTGCCACATTGAAGGCAGCTCAGAAAAGATAAAGGTTACTCTACATTGCTGCCATACCACATTTATCATCCAGCCTGCATTTCAACATTCTCTCCTTTAACTATAAAGAACTGAGTGTGTCTCTGAAACAGACCATTGAACTACTTGAGAATACGTCCTCTCATCCTCTCACCTGCTCAAGGATTTCAATCCAGCACATTACTCACTTTCACCTTCACCCAAGTAAAATCATCTTTCCATTTTATTACCGCATCAGCCTTCTAAGTGCTCCATTCATCCTCCTTGGCCCCACATTCACTCCTTTGGGTTATTCTCAATACAGCAGCCAGACTGTGGAAATTATGCATAAAATCAGATCGTGTCATTCTTTACTCATTCCTCAGCTCCCCCTTCCACTCTAGTACAAGCCAAAGTCCTAATCATGGCCAATAAGACTCACCTAGTGACGTGGCCCTGGCCTGGTGTCTCTACCACCTCTCCTCTTCTCATTGAGGTCATTATGCTTTCACATTGGACTCTTACTATCTCTTGAATGTTAAAAATACACTCTCATCATAGCACCCTTGAGCTGCTCTTTCCTTTCTGCCAAATGCCTTCTCCCAGATAGTTCACACCCTCATTACTTTCCTTCAATGTCTGCTCGTGTCACCCTCTCAAAGGACTCTCTTCAATCTCTCCCACCTCTATTATGGTCATCTGCTGCTGGATTCATAACCCAAAACAAACCAATCCCACTTCCATCAAGTTGACTCTGACCCAATGTGACCTTTCAGACACAGTGCTTCCAAGGCTGTAAATCTTGATGAAAGTATACTGCCTCATCTTTCTCCCATATAGCAGCTAATGGGTTCAAACCACTGACCTGGTGAGCAGTCAAATACCGTCACTATAGTGCCACAAGTTTCTGGATTGAAATTATATTATGTGCTGTTGAGTTGGAACCAACTCATAGCTGACCCACCAGTGAGTTTTCATAGACTGTGAATTACATGAGATGAGATTATCCATCTTTCTTTCCTCAGAGCAATAGATGTATTTGAATGGCCTGTCTTTGGGTTGTCAGCACAACTCCTTACCCACTAGGCCACCAGAGCTCTCTAGCAATCCTATTATGACAAAGTAGAACTCCCCATGGTTTGTTGGACTGGAACATTGTCTAATGTTTTCTCTTACAGAACCACTAGTGAATTTGAACCTTCAACCTTTGGGTTTGCAGCCAATGCTCAACAACTGTGACATCACACCTTCTCGTCTATCACTTGGTTTTGCTTGTAGTACATAATGTTGTTGTTGTTGTTATGTGCCGTCGAGTCGCTTGTGACTCATAGTGACCCTATGTACAAAAGCCCTAAACTCTGCTCTATCCTGTGCCAATCGCACTGTCTCTGACACTCCCATCCCGATTATCCCAGTCACTGAATCAATCCACCTCATAGAGGGTCTTCCCCTCCTGTGCCGTCCCTCCACCCTCCCAAGCATGATGTCCCTCTCCAAGGACCGGTCTCTCCTCACTACATGTCCAAAGTATGTTAGACGGAGCCTCAGAATCCTTACCTCCAAGGAGTCACCCGGTTTAACCCTTTCCAGGATACAATTTAATATTGTTGATTTTCTCTTTCTTACTAGAATATAGGCTTCTAAGAGCAGGGACAGTTTTTGCTTTGTCCCTCCATGTTGTGTTCCCCAGTGGCCTGGCACACACAGTATACTCAACATGCCCATTGCTGCTGGCTTGGACTGAGAGTGACCCTCCACTGTGTTTCTGAGGCTGTAAATCATAATGGGAGGAGAGTGCCCATCTTTCTCCTGTCAAGTCTCTGGTTGGTTCAGCCACCAGAGATGCTTGGCCTTTGAGTTAGCAGCACAACACACGATGTTATGCCACCAGAGCCATCTAGGACTCAGGAGGTACTCAGGATATTTATTAACAAAATAAATGAAGGATAAAATAATTAGGCGCTTGCATAAAGCGTATACTCATAACTTATTCCACAGAATTCTCATGATAGATCTATTACCTATCCACTGCTACTTAGTTCAGCCCTTATAGGATAGAGTAAAACTGGCCTTTGGGGTCCCCAGCTATAATTCTTATCAAAGCAGCTGGCTGTTACATCTTCCTCCTGTGGAGATGCTGGTGGCTTCGAACTGCGGAACTTTCAGTTATCAGCTCAGCACATAACCACTCTGCTACCAGCACTCTTTTACAAATCTATTACATATACTTTTCAACATTTTATTTATGAATAACCTAAATCTCAGAAAAGTTAAAAAGTAGATCAAAGTCAAGTCTTTAGTTGCCGCATAACATTTTTAGTCATGACAGTATATTCCATAGGATATTTTCTTGTTCTGCTTTCAAAGTCATCACTAAATTAATTGTCTTTACCCTCTTTCCTTCAGTATGAATGTCTTCTACCTCCCCTGTCCATTCACAAATCATTGTATAGGCCATACATTTTATTTTACCAAGTCTGCAATCAAGACCTCCAATTCATCACATCCTGAGGATATTTCTGATCATTTCTCGCTAGAAGTGGTCCTTTTCTTTATTGAATTGATAGTCCATTTTCAGGGAGCTCTGTGACATAGTCTGTTGGAAGCTGTGCTGCTAACTCAAAGGCCACACCTCTCTGGCAATTAAAATCCACCAGTGGCTCTTTGGGACAAAGATGAGCAATCTCCTCCTATGTGGCTTACAGCCTCTTATACCCAATGGAGGGTCAGCTCTGTTGGTTTCAACGTGGTGGCAATGACCACGCAGAGACAGGAGGCCAACCTGCAGAGTGCAGATAAGACACTGTGCCATCTTGTTCTCCTGTGCGACTGAATACACGGAACAACATCCTTTTGTAAACTGTGACACTGTAAACTGATTGTCATTGTCCAGATTTGTTCTGAACAGTGGGACAGAGTTCCTTGTTTGTTTGCACATTGGCATCTGCTAATGCAGCCCACAGTTACACTTGCTTTGCTGGCAGCCTTTACCACACTTTTGTCTTACTCTGAATTTTCAATCTGGTATGTTTATCTTTCATAAGAGGCTCGGTAGCCTCTAGAGAGAATGAATTGCAAATCTAAACCTTCAAGTGACGTGCAAGGTATCTCACTATCTGGCTTCTCTCCACATTTATAACATCATCTCTTACTATTTCTCTAAGTGGTCAGCTCATTGCCTTCCTCATTTTTACTGCATCCCCCACCACACAGTGGCTTTGTGTGTGTTTTTCATGAATACCGATATAGACTCCCTACCTTTAAAGCATTTGAGACCTCATGTTGTAAAGGACACATAGATTTCAGAGCATGAGTCCTATCTACTTTTAACTTGAAGTCTCAGCCTCCTTCTCTTCCTGTCTCCTCAATCCAACTGAAGTCAAGGCTCCTCCTCTGAGAACAGAGCATGAGAGTCACTTGCATGGTCTGGTTTAATGACAGTTATGGGTGTGTATGTCCCTGATAAATTATAAAGGCCTTGAGGGTGTGGAGAGTGCTTTGTCCATCTTTGTGTGTCTAGTTTAACATAAGGCCTGATACAGAGTGGATTTTCAGGAAATGGTCATTGAATGATTGGACAAATGGAGGGATTGATGTTGGGTACATGTAGTGTCTTCTTCCCCACCTGGATTCCTAAGACTTTGAGTCTAGGGCTCACTTATGTACCACACTGTATCCACACTGCTCTGAGGGATATCATTTCTCTTCTGTGGGCCATCCAGATTTCCATGTCACTCTGTGCCTGTTCTGTATATAGGCTAAACTAAGACAGCACAAGTAAAAGTGAAGATCTTTGCATGGACCTATTTTCAAATTTGTCTCATTCTTTTTTCTTCTCTCTCTCCTCTCTTTGTCTCCCTTTCCCATGCCTTTCCTCCTGCCACCCCCTTCCTCGATACCTCCTGGTCCTTCCTGGTCATTATCCTCTTTCCAGTCCATGTCTGCTTCCCTGTGTGTGTGGAAGTGCCCTCAGAGACGGAGGCTGTTCAGGGAAACCCCATGAAGCTCCGCTGCATCTCCTGCATGAAGAGGGAGGAGGTGGAGGCCACCACGGTGGTGGAATGGTTCTACAGGCCCGAGGGCGGTAAAGATTTCCTTGTATGTGTGACTGCTGACTCTGCCTTCTTTTGCTGACCTCTGCGCTTGCTGCCTGCCTTCTAAGGGACAGCTTCTAACAACCATGGCTGTCTTTTTGAAGCATTGGCAGCTCCCGAGAGTTAACTGCTTAGTTGAGCCCAGTCTTCAGGAAAGAAGGACGCTTGACTAACTGCAAACACAGCTGGTTATTTGACAAGCAAGAGGAAGGAAGAGAATGAGATAATAGTATTCAGAGCCTACTATGTACTGGGTACTTTGCGAGGCACTCTGCCATTTTGATTTAATCTTCCACACCATCATATTAACCGAAACTGCCATGCAAGTCTATTCCAGCTCAGACAGAGTAGAGCTTCCCACTGAGTTTCCAAGGCTGTAAATCTTAAGAAAGGAGTCTACGGAGTGTTTGGTGGGTTCCAACCACCAGCCTTTTTGTTGTTGTGTGCTACTGTGTCAGAACCGACCCATAGCTGACCCTCCAGCAGGTTTTCAGAGGCAGTTATTCATATGGGAGGAGATTGCCTATCTCTCTCCCATGAAGCAGCTTGTGAATTCAAACCACCTACTTTTGGGTTGCTAGCACAACTGCTTACCACTAGGCCACCAGAGCTGAATTCTTTAACCACTAAGGCATCAAGGTTCTTTATACCATCTTGTTGTTATTGTTGTTGTGTGCCATTGAGTTGGAATTGACCCATAGCTGTTTACACAACCTTAGTAGGTGGATTAAATTAATTGGAGGAGGGGGAATGAAATTATACTAATTATCATTACTGAGACAGCAGGTATAAGTTATGTCATTTAACTTTCCTCATCGCAGTGGAATAAGAATGGCAGTGACGACCAAAGCTCATATTCAGCTTGTATACCCAGTAAAATCATATCCAAGGGTAAATTAGTCAGATAATTCTGAAGCTGTTAGTGGATACTTGCTGTGTCAAGCCACGTTAGTGTCCTCCCATTGTCCTTCCCACCATGCCCCCACCTTTAGGAACTCTTAGACTTCCCTATGATCAAAAGTAAAAGATTAGCCCATACCAGAGCAGGGAGCCTCCGAGACTCTTTTTTAGCACATTGGCTGATGTTTGTTATGTTTAGTCAGTGACAAGCCAAAATGATCCCTTAATATTTTGACAGCCACCTTAGAGATGATCAGTCGCCCCACTTTTACTGACTGCCCATTTCTCTGCCTTTTCTCTCTTCTCTGCCCTCTGCTTCCTTCCTCATTCCACTTCCACGTTCTGAGTCTCCTTGTAACCTGTCCCTTCCCTTCCCGGCCTTTGCACAATTCTGTTGCTTCTCTCCGCCCTGTTCTCCTGCCTTACCCTCTTTCCTGGCCCTACCTTCCTCTGCTTCTCTACCTGCAGATCTACGAGTATCGAAATGGCCACCAGGAGGTGGAGAGCCCCTTCCAGGGACGCCTGCAGTGGAATGGGAGCAAGGACCTGCAGGACGTGTCCATCACTGTGCTCAACGTCACCCTAAATGACTCCGGTCTCTACACCTGCAATGTGTCTCGGGAGTTTGAGTTTGAGGCGCATCGCCCCTTTGTGAAGACTACAAGGCTTATCCCCCTCCGTGTCACCGAGGAGGGTGAGGCTGGGGCACCAGGTCCTGAAGAGTCCTTGTTCGGGAGGGAGGGAGGGGGGAGGGCAGTGGGTTTCCACATACATGAGATACTTGGAGGAAAATATGGCACCACTCTCTTAATTTTCTTTAGTGACCAGCTTATCTTTCTGCCTCTTTCTATAAAGCAATAAAGCTTAGAAATAATGACAGCCTCACCCAGCCTCTGAACCCTCACCCTTAGAGCCTCCACAAAGCCTCAAAGTGCCCTTCTTCCTTGACCTGTGTTGAATCTTTGACTCAGCAAGCTCAGAGAATTTTCACAACGTTACCTCAAGGTCATCTATCTTCCTCCTTGGAAGCAATACATACTGTACACCAGTGTTCCCAGACTGTAGTGAGCCTCACAATCTCCTACTTGGTTTTAACACCGAGGCTATCTGATTCCTTCCATCTAAAGTGAAATTTGAATATCTGCATCCTTGATAAATTCCTAGGAGATGCTCATGCTGCTGATCTGAGGCCATGATTGAAGAAACACTGCTCTAAACCACAGTTCGACAGTCTTTGGTCTTTTTTCAATCGGGCACAAGCACCACCTCTTCTTTTGTCACATAACCTCAGTTGAAAGCTCTTTCGTCTTCAGAGCCCCGTTAGTTCCTTACTCAAAACTGAACTTGCTGCTGTCAAGTTGATTCTCACCTGTGGCTGTTTCTGCATCTATACATTGCAGTGGAAAGAGAACATCCATCTCTCTCTCTCTGAGAGCTGCTGGTGGGTTCAAACTTCCAGAGATGTATGGCCTCTCAGTTAGTAGCACAACTCACTCCTTCAGTTCTTACCTCAACAAACAGCTCACTGCTGCCAAGTGGGAATTGACTCACAGCTGACCTTCCAGCGGGCCTACAGAGGTTGTAAACCACATGGGAGGAGACCACCCATCTTTCTCCTGAGCAGCAGCTAGTGTATTCAAACTGCCTGCCTTTGCATTGGCAGCCCACCTCTCTACCACTAACCCCCCAGAGCTCCTTCCTAGGGTGAAACCCAGAAATAGGATTTCCTGCTGCAGACTGAGCTGGGGAATCTGGAGGGTGGGCTTGGAGGGTCCTCCTTCACTCCTTCAGCAGTCTTATTCTGTTGTCAGTGGGTTCTGAGAACTGTATCTCTTAGCCTCTTAGAGCTACAGCTCCTTCACGTGTCTAAAGAGTGAGAGATGCATCTCTTTTTGCATTTTCCCCATCCAGATTGAGTCAAGATTCCATTTTGTTTAACTTTTCTCAGATACTAGTCTCCAATTATTACTTAGCACTACTGTTTTCTCCTGGGATAATGAGAGAAGAGGCCATGTTAATGATGATTTGGACAAGGCTTTTCCTAAAAAATGATTCTAGGAACATTGACTTCCAGTCTACAAATCTAGTTTCATCATAAATTATTATAGTAACGAGGCAAATTGATAAAGAATGACAGATTAAGACATGTAATACAAATGGACTAAAACAGGAGATAGGTCAATTTTGAACATGCAAAGGTACTATCAGAATTTAGACCCACTTCCTCTGAGTCTCTCTCCTTGTGTAAAACAGAAGGGTGGGAATGGAAGCTCTCTGAGGTGGGTACTTCAGAGGAGGGAAGTTGAGGTTTGGAGGGAAAGGTACTTCCATAACAACCCCTTTGTTTTACACAGAAGAGACAGGCTTGAGAGAGGAAGTGGTGGGCCAGCGGGTAAGGAGTTGCATTGCCAACCCAAAGCCAGGCAATTTGAATCCACTAGCCGCTCAGAGGAAGAAAGATATTCAGTCTCCTCCTGTGCTATTTACAGTTTCTGAAAACCAGCTGGAAGATGAGCAATGAGTGGGTTGTGATTAGAAGACAGTGAGTGCCGTCCTTTTTGGGAGAAGGGGGCAGAGGTATTATGGCGCCCTCTACTGGCTACTCGCGGGAACTGTGGCCTGGTGATGACCTTAGGGCATGAAGGTTTCTGTCTCCACCTTCTGTTCTCTCAGGCTTTTGCCTCCAGACTGTCCTGAGCAGACAGTGAAAAGTGTGGCAAAGCTGAGCCAGTCTGCCAGCCTAACAGGGCAAGGCATGGGAAAGAAGAAAAGAAAAACAAAGTTGTTATTGGAGACAGAGATTCTGGGGATGGGGAAGCTGGAAGGAAGAACAGATAATCGTTTAGCCAGAGAACAAAAGGTGGGCACCAGAATCGTTCCGGGACGATGTAGAAGCCTCAGCATTACTCTTGTGGGCACGGGCATGGAAGGTTTAGGGTGAGAGTTCCCATGAGTGAGTTGAAATGACACCCCAGATGGTTGAAGGGTGCGGTAGAGGCACTCCTCATCTGGTAGCTGAGAGAGCAGAATATTGGAAGGGTGAAGGCCTTACTTGAGGCCATGAAGCACCAGAGGCAAAGGTGGAATTCATATCTCATGCCTACTAGGTTTGGTTCCATTTCCCCTTCATTGTGCCCATCTACCACCATCCTGACTTTTGCCACGCTCCTCCCCCACCCATTCCCTGACCTCTTTGACACCTTGACAGCCTCCCCTCCAGGTACTCATCACTCAAATGCTCATGACTATCTACTCCCCGAGGGTACACTTCATCCCAGAGCATCTCCTCTTTAAATTTTAACTGGCTTAGGCTCCAAGACAGAAATCTGAGTCCTCTTGACCTTATTGTTGTTGATATGTTCTGTCAAGTCAGAACCAGCTCAGAGCTGATGCTCCACTCAGTTTTCAGAGGCTGTAATTCAAACAGAAGCAGCAGCTAGTAGATTTGAAACACCTGGGTTAGCAGTGTAACTCCTTATCACTGAGCCATCAGAGCTTCTCTTGAGGAAAAGAAAAACTGGCTGTAGGGCCAGCCATGAGCAGATTCCATAGTAGTAACTTCTTGTGTTACTACTTTAGAACTACTGCATTTAAAAAAGAGATTGCATGCCCATGAAGAGACATCTGCGGTGTGTGGTGTTCCTTTTGTACTTCTGGCCACATCCCTGATCTCATTTCATTAGGCAACTTGGATGATCTTGAAGACCTCGGGCATTGTTGGCTCTGCTGAGCATTTAATGAGCAAGGCCTTGGGGTAAACAGGGTTCTATGGAAAACCAGAGATCATGAGCCTAATTTGCTGGTGGGAGGTGGGGAGAGGAGGAATGGCTGTGAAGAAAGAACAAGCGTCTGCACGTTTGCCATGTAGTGTGTTTTTTAATTTTTGCCAGCATTGAATTAAAGGTAGCCAGTATTTATTTCTTTCCATTAATTCAATAAACACTTATTTGGGACCTCAGGTATTCTAGTTGTGGACTATAGGCGGATAATTCAGAAATAACTGGGTTTTTTCCAATAAGCACACAAAAATCAACAGAGAGATACACACATTATAGCTTGAGAAGGTGTTTTGAGAAATGGAGAAGGATGTGGGTGATCCTGCAGGAGAAGTCAAGCAAAGTCTCATAGCTGAGGGGACTATGGTGGAGTCTAGCCTAGTGGTAAGGAGCTGTGCTGCAATCCCAAAGGCACACAGTTCAAATCTATTAGCAGCTCCATGAGAGGAACATGGCAGTCTCCTCCTGTGCGATTAACTGCCTCTGAAAACCTGATAGAGGGTGAGCTATAGGTCATTTCTGACTTGATGATACACAACAATAAAAGAATAACCAGAGGATTGAAAAGTATGAGATGCTGGAGGAGGGGGAACAGTGCGGTGTGAGAAAAAAATACCGGGGAGGGGGATACCCATAGATACTAAAAAACCCCTACATAGTGTGTATGAGAAAAGTTTTACTGTTCAGCTGACCAGTTATTATGTGAGAAGGGCCATATAGTCCCTTATACATCATATTAAGAAAGTCTGGGCTTTATCCTGAGGGTAGCATGAATCACTGAAAGTTTTTAAAAATGGAAGTTGCAAGATCAGTTCTTGTGTTTCAAAAGTAGAACACTGTATCCTCCAATACCCATTTCTATTCATGTTTAGAATAAACATAGAATTTACTCTATGACTTGGATAGAAGATGAACAGGGCAGTCCTTTGGTTATAATCTAGCCTCACAGAGAACATGCCCCTATCACTGAGTGGACAGAGGCTGTTTGGCCCTACATGTGTTTTCCAATGTCCTCTCCTGAGGGATACCAGCCTCCATTATGCTTCACCTCAGAAGAGAGATATGATTGAATTGGAGCCTGTCCATATATCTCTGTAGACGTTCACAACTCACAAGATATCCTTAAATACATTGTAGTGGTTAGTTGCATCCAGTCAGCTCTGAGGCACGGTGACCTTATGTGTAGCAGACCAAAACATTGCTTGATCCTACACTCTCTTCCTGCAGTGTACTAGACATACTCTTTAGGGAATATAATACCCACGGCAACCATGACTGACGGGAATTATTCTCACTTTGCAGATTAAGAAACTGAGTCTCAAATAAGGGAAATGACTATTCACACACCACTAAGTAGCAATATTGGGACCCGGCCATACATGCCAGGCTCTGAGTCCAGAGTTCTAATGATCTACTGTGTCTGCCTTCACCCAGTCCCTTCCCTTATCCCTCCCTTCAGAGCATCTGATGAAAGTCAGAGAGGAAGCTGTCACATGGGAGAGTTCGTGAATCTGAAATCCTTTGACACCTTCTTGATTTCCTTTAGAGCCAGTCTTTATTTAAGCCCTATCTGAAAACAGGCCCTATACACCTGCTGCCTCCACGCTAGCACCGAGTTGGTTGGACATGCGTGTTCTGAGGCTCACTCTCTCCTCTGCAGCTGGAGAGGACTTCACCTCTGTGGTCTCAGAAATTATGATGTACATCCTCCTGGTCTTCCTCACCCTGTGGCTGCTCATCGAAATGGTTTATTGCTACAGGAAGGTCTCCAAGGCTGAAGAAGTGGCCCAAGAAAACGCGTAAGTCCAAACACCCCACGGGAACGACGATAGCTGACACCCTCAGAGCACCTGCTTCTACAGGTGAGGTGCTAAGCAATGTCCAGACAGCACTGTTTAGATACTCTGCCTTCTTCCTCACCACAGCCTAGGAGAGCAGCACATTATTAAGCAGACAATGCGGGAGACATCAAAAGTGGCTCTTAGCTTGTGCTCTTAATCACTAAAACCCATCAGCTGCCGCTAGAGCGTGAGAAATTAGCACTGCTATAACCATTGTATAGGGAAGCCGTAGGGCGTAGTCTAAAGGGAGTTGGGCCGCTCACCCAAAGGGAGCACCTCCCTGCTGGCTCAAATCCACCAGCTGCTCCTGGAGAGAAAGATGAGTAGTGTCCTCCTGCGTGAGGCTCCTCACTCATGAGCAGTGAATGCATGATGAACATTTTATAGACACCGAAAGAGATGCGTGGGGGTTAAGTGTGACCTGAAGCCATACAGCAAAGTTGCTGGAATTTGAACCTGGGTCTATTTCTAATGTCCATGCTCTTTCTTATTCCATTTACTTGATAGTAATCACTAGGCTATCTGTCACAACTCTTTATTAACTAAGGAGCCCAAAGTGATATGCTCTTCTTCCAGAGTCTGTTGTTAAGTGCCATTGAGTCATACACAACTCATAGCAACCCTATGAATGAAAGGCCTAGTGTTAAGTTCCTGAGAGGGGAAACATGAACAGGAACAAGCAAAAATCCAAAAATAAAAAATATGGTCAATAAAGTTAAAAACGAATGGGTTGGTTCAATAGAAGATCAGATATAGGTTACCAGAAGATAAATATGAAGAAGTTAACCATAATGGAGCACAAAGAGAGAAAAAGATGAAATATAACAAACAAGCATGAAGGGCACACCAGGAGTATGAGAAAATACCAGCCTTAGGGACCTTGCCATCAAGTTGGAAGTAGACTGAGAGAACTGTCATAGGGGTTTCAGATAGTAGTTTGCACTAACCAAGGATTCCATAGAGAATTAAAATAAAAAAGAAACAGCATTTGAAGATCGAGTGGCTGAGGGAAGACATGATTATTCAGATTTAGGAACCACATCACTTTTTGAACAAGATAGATACCAAAGCAATGCACATGTAATCATTAACTCTTCTTAAACTGATGTTGTTATGTGTTGTCAAGTTGACTCCAACTCATAGCAACCCTATGAGTTGTCCTATCCTAACCTTGTCCTATTCTGAACCATCTTCATTATTTTCAACGTGTTAAAATCCATTGTTATAGTCACAGTCAGTCCACGTTGAGGGTCTTCCTCTCTCTGACCCACCAACATTCCCAGCATGGTATATTTTTCCAAACATGCTCCTAACATAGAAAATTTTACCACTCTTGCCTCTAAGGGGCACCCTGGTTTCACTTTCTTGCATGACAGATTTGTTCATTCTTTTGACAGTCCACAGGATAGTCAATATTCTTAGCCAATACCAAAATTCAAAGGCATTGGTTGATCAAAGGATCATCTTCACTCGCTGTCTAATTTCCAGATGCATAGAAAGCACTTGAAAATATCGGGACTTGGGTCAGGAGCACTTGACATCTTTAAACTTAACATCCTTGCTCTTTAGCACTTTGATGAGGTTGTTTTTTTTTTTAACTAAGAGTTCACAATTTTATTTTCACATGTCACAACACAAAAATTGCTTTTTTAATCCTTTGCCCATTACTTCACTCAAACGATTCTGTGATAGAAAAGGGGAGCAAGTCTTCCTTGTGCTGTTAAGAAAACACCCATAGTCACAGCACCAGGATTCTCCTGGTGAAGTAGTACAAGTAATATAAAACTGATACAAAGAAGCTGCACTCTGTCCTTATCTGTCTGGTCGAGTCATTCCTGGCCTCGTGGGCACCATCATGGGACGGGCAGGGGGCCTCATCATTGGGGGCCCAGGCATCATTGGCATGTGGCCTCCCATGGGTGGTCTCATTCCAGGAGCAGGTCCCACTGGCATCATCCCAGGAGGAGGAGGACCCATCATTGGCATCATAGGAGGTCCCCCCATATGGGGTGCTGGCATCATACCAGGGCGAGGAGGGCCAGGGAGACTGGGTGGAGGTGGGATCATGGCACCTGCTGGAGGAGGCGCAGAGAACGGAGTAGGAGGTATCTTTCCTTGTTGAAATGCAGCCGTTGTTTTGTCAATTAGGCTCTGAGCCTGTTCTTCCATCCATTTTTTATAGTAATCTTTCACATTCTCTTTGTGTTTCCTGCCACTGCAATGTGTCTTTCTCACAGATGGCGAGTCATGAGTGAGGTACGTGTCACAGTAGTCACAATAAAACTTAGGCATGATGATCCACACAAGCCGTTCACTGAACTCTGATGAGGTTTTTAACAACAGATTTTTCCGGATGCAACGTCTGCTTTCTTTACCGCTGCAACCACCAATGTTTATTGTGGATACAAGTAAAATGTAATCACAAATAACTTCAATCTTTTCTCTATCATAATGTCACCTGTTGGTTTAATGGTGAGGATTTTTGTTTTCTTGATGTTGAGATGTAATTTTTATAGATGTAGTCTAACAATGCTGCCCTGGATGTGCTCACCAAGTTGTGCCAAGAAATCTGGAGAACAACCACTTGGCCAACTGACTAGAAGAGATCTATATTTGTTCCCATCCCAAAGAAGGGTGACCCAACGGAGTGTGGAAATCATAGAACAATTATCATTGATTTCACACGCAAGCAAGCTTCTACTGAAGATTATCCAAAAACTACTGGAACAGCACATCAGCAGAGAACTTCCAGAAGTCCAGGCTGGGTTTAGAAGGGGTCGTGGTACTAGGGATATTGTAGCTGATGTTAGATGGATATTAGCTGAAAGCAAGGAATACCAGAAGACTTTATATCTGTGTTTCATTGATTACGGAAAGGCGTTGACTGTGTGGATCATAAACTGTGGCTGACTCTGAGAAGAATGGGAATCCCAGAACACTTGATCATTCCAGTGTGAAACCTATACTTGGACCAAGAGGAAGTCATCAGAACAGAGCAGGGAAACACCACATGGTTCAAAATTGAGAAAGGTGTATGCCAGGGATGTGTCCTATCTCCATACATTTTCAACCTGTATACAAAACTGATTATCCAAAAGGCTGGGCTCTATGAGGAGAAGTGTGGAGTCAGGATTGGTGGAAGATCTATTAACAATCTGCATTATGCAGATGACACAACCCTGCTTGCTGAAACTGAGGAGGACCTGAAATACTTGCTGCAGAGGGTCAAGGACTGCAGAGCCTTCAGTATGGATGAGGCTCAATGTCAAGAAGACAAAGATTCTCGCCACTGGACCAACTGGCAGCATCAGGATGGATGGTGAAGAGATTGAGATTGTTAACAACTTTAGTCAGCTTGGCTCCACAGTCAACACTCTTGGCACCAGTAGCCAGGAAATCAGAAAACATACTGTGATAGGAAGGTCTGCTGTTAGGGACCTCTCCAGGGTACTGACGAGCAATGGTGTCACTCTGGAGACTAAGGTGCGTCTGATACAGGCTATGGTCTTTGCAATCACTTGTTATGCATCAGAGAGTTGGACAACAACTAGGGAGGATAGAAGGAGAATTGATGCCTTTGAGCTGTGGTGCTAGAGAAGAGTATTGAATGTACCCTGGACTGCCAAGAAAACAAACAGATTCATCCTGGCGAGGGTTAAACCAGGGTGCTCCTTGGAGGCAAGGATTCTGGGGCTTCATTTGACATACTCTGGACATGTTGTAAGGAGAGACAAGTCCTTGGAGAGGGACATCATGTTTGGGAGGGTGGAGGGATGGCGAAAGAGGGGAAGACCTATGAGGTGGATTGATTCAGTGACTGGGGTAATCGGGATGGGTTTGTCAGAGGCAGTGCGATTGACACAGGATAGAGCAGGGCTAGGGCTGTTGTATGTAGTGTCGCTATGAGTTGCAAACGACTCGATGGCACATGACAACAACAACAACAGTCTTTGACCTTTTTCAGTAACTGCTTCAAGTCTTTTTCACTTTCTGCCAAGCAAAGTAGTGTCATCTGCATAACAGAAGTTGCTCATGAGCCTTCCTCCAATCCTGATGCCACATTCTTGAATTACTCCATCTTCTTGAATTATTTATTCAGCATACAAATTAAATAGGTATGGAGAAAGGATACAACCCTAACACACATCTTTCCTGATTTTAAACCAATAAATAAGTGCTCCTTTGTTCTGTTTGTACAACTGTCATTTTATCTAGGTATAGGTTTCACATTAATACAATTAAGTGCTCTGAAATTCCCTTTCTTTTCAATGTTACCCATAATTTGTTATGATACACACAGTTAAATGGCTTTGCAAAGTCAAGAAAACATAAGTATCTGAGTAGCAGCAGCTATTACGATAACATCAGCAGATAACCATCTTTATGGTTGAAATTTCAAAAGGATTGATTGCAATTTTAGAAATCTGTCAAGGATGCCCTCTCTCTTTGCTCCTAGTCAATTCCATATTAGAGATCCTAGGTAATATGCCAAAATAATACAAAGAAGTGGCAGAATTTGAAGGAAAGAAACTGAATTATGAATACTCACAGCCAATGTAACTATCTACATAGAGAACACATTCTAGTAGAACATTCTTCAAGATTATTGATACAAATCACAATATAAAAATAATCTATTTCAGAAACATTTAGAAAAATATTTAAAGCATAAGAAATTTTAATTACACTAGTAAAAAAATGCTCTTCATTTCATAGGAATAAATCTAACAAAAATATGGAAGACTTTTATAGAGAAAAGTACAAAACTTTACTGAATGTCCAAAGAAACAACCTAAGGAAATAGAGAAAATTACTATAAAAATGGTAATTCTTTCCCAAATTAATCTGTAAAATCAATAAAATTGCACTGATTTTTTTAAAAAGAATAGGCTGATCTTAAAAGTCATATGGACTTGGTCTAAAAAGTCTTGGTCTAAAGGCCAAGAATAGTCCACAATAATGAAAGCAAGATAGTAACAAATTGAGGTTTTGCAATCCATCTAGGACCTCCAGGGAGCTCTGGTGGCCTACTGGCAAGAAGCTGTGCTGTAATCCCAATGGCATGTGGTTCAAGGCCAGCAGCTGCTCCACAGGAAAAGGATGGGCAATTCTTTTTTCCTGTGCAACTGACTGCCTCTGAAACCTGCCAGGTCAGCTGTGAGTCAATTCTGACACTATGGTACACAACAACAACAACAACATAGGAACTCCTCACATACTTTTCTTTTTTAGCCATTTAATCATGTAAATACTATTCTCAGCTCGTGCTCTTGTTATTAGGCATCTCTAAGTCAGCTCAGACTCAAGCAGGCCTACCTCTTATACCACAGAATGAAACCCTGTCTGATCCTACACTGTCCTGTCCATTTTTACTGGACTTAAACCCATTGTTGCAGCCACTGCATCAACGAGTCCATCTTGTTTTAGCTCACATCACATACAATAACAGGTCAGAGCTGAGCCTGTGGCTATAGTTTGTGGGTCTTTGGTCTAAACCACTCAAGTTTGGAGGAGGTGGCTGGTGGGAACTTCCAACTCCCAAGCCTAGTTGCTGTTGAATTGAATCCAATTCATGGTAACCCCATATGTGTCAGAGTAGACCTGTGCTCCATAGGGGACCCTAGTAGTGTTGTCTGAAGGGAATTGTGTTGCAAACTTAAAGGTGGCCAGTTCCAATCCACAAACAGCTCTAAGAAACACAAGTGTGGTTTTCTCACACGTAATTTACGGCCTCTGAAAACCTGCTGGGTGAGAGTCAGTGTAAGTCAGTTCCGATTCAATGCAATGAGTTTAAGATTTCCACCACCCACCCGCCCACCCACCCCCAGGAGCGTTTTCAGGGCTGATATTTTCAGAAGTAGATTAATAGGACTTTCCTTTGGGGCATTACTGGGTGAATTCAAACTACCATCCTTTCAGTTAACAACTGAAGTCATTGTTTAGGATTTGAAGATTTCTTATGACATTAGCAAAGTAAAGACTTTGTGGTATTGACATAGACATAGAAAATCAATATAATGCACAAAACAAAAAGCTCAAAAATAGATTTGTGCATTTTTAAAACTGTAAAATGTGGTTGATGTGGCTTTACAATCATTGAGGAAAGAATGAAGAATTGAAGAAAAAAAATTAACTAGCTTAGTCTCTCACAGTAAACATAGTGATATTTTTTTCAAAATTATCTTAAAGGAATGTTATTATCTTTACTACTTTGAAATAAATATTTCTTAAAATGCAAGAGGTATGAATAAAAAAGGAGCAACAAAATGATCATTGTTATTTTACAAAACTCATTTGTTTCATTATAAGTTTCCATAGCAAAGTCTCAAGACAGACAACAGACAGGGAGGTCTTCCAAGACATCAAACCATAAAAAGAGAAGGACAGAGGGAAAATAATAGAAATGTCTTTTAAAAAAAAAACCCAAACAAAACTAGAAGAGCAAAAGAACAGTCAAGATTATAAAAATCTCTTATTGCTGCTAAGTCAGAACCAACTTTAAGCTGACCCACCACTGGATTTTTAAAGCTGTAAACTGCAAGGGAGGAAACTGCCCATCTTTCTACCATGGAGCTACTGGTGGACTTGAACTGCCAGAGAGTTCAGCCTTTGAGTTACAAATGTAACCACCTATAGAATAGACTACTAGAGCTCTCTAATAACAGAAGTAAAATCCAAAATAGCCTATAAACATGACAACTTAACCAATAATCAGAAATATGACAACAACTGAAAAATAAAATTCATACCAGTTGAGGCAGAATTTTTATTTAACAGTACAAATTCCTGAGGTCAATGTAGATAAATAAGACTCATATACTGCTGGTGGAAGTGTCCATATAAAAATGTGTAATAAAACCCCATTGTTCTAATGTGCTGAGAGGGACATTATTCTTTTTGGAGGAAGAACCAGAAGGAAATGCAGAGCTGGTCTGTGGACACCTCCCTTTCCTGTAGTGTCACCATGGTCACTGTCGCACTGATCCATTTCCCCCACGTGTCTTCCTACAGGTCTGACTACCTTGCCATCCCATCAGAGAACAAAGAGAACTCTGCAGTACCTGTGGAGGAATAGAAGAGGCTGTGGCTTGAGGTGAAGTAGAGGGACTTGGGAAGTGAGAGGTAGATTCAGTGGGGATACAGAGGCTCAAAGAGCCTTGGGTTAGGCTGAAATGGGCTGGCCATTCTCAGTGAGTTCTCTTGTCCTTGGTAGGTGCCAGAACACTGAGAGACTGGATGTCCCAAGTTCAGTGATGTCAGCGGCGACAGAAGGGTGCCCTAGAGGCGATATTATTTCCCTTCATGTATCCATCTTACTAGCCATCATCCATCCAATCATCTGACCACTGAACTTTCACCTCCAACTTCCTAACTCCATCAGAACTCTGAACATATTTAAGACTTTGCTAGAAGAACTGGGAGTCCAACATTTCCACATGGGCTCAATATCACCTTCTCCTAGTCTTCATAAAAGTGGCTCCCATGACCACTGGACTACTTTTTTGTGTTCCAAATGACTTTGTACAAATGCTGGAGGTAACACTTCTCTTAATTCCTACTTGGCTAGAGCTGGCTCATTTTGTTCTCGTAACTATCATAGTTATAGCTCACTGGAAGGAAGCAGGAATGATTAGTTAGGTCAGGGCAGAATTCATGAACTCCTCTGAAGTAATTTCCCCCCCAAAGTTCCTGGCCCAGTTGGCTAGGGCACAAGAGCAAAGCATGTCCCTTGGGTTCTCCACTTACGGAAAGATAATAATGCATGATGTAAAATGCTCTCTGTAGCCTGGTGACCCTTGATGGCGATGCAAAGGACAGGGAACTGAGGAACGTCAGACAGCAATGTAAGTGATGTGTTAAATCATACATGTGCTAGACCCTACTGGGATGACTCATGCACATTCTCCCCAGCACCACCATGAGATGGAGAGACGTCTTCTCCTGTGGGCACCGTGACTGAACAGCTGAAGTTTTTCCTTCAAACATTTCATGGGTCCCTATTATCCCTCATTTTGCAGGCGGTAACTGAGACCCAGACAAGATTCACTGAGTGAGTGGCTTCAGAGGATGAGCTAGAACAGATGTGGTGTTTAGGTTTTTAGAAAACTTTGAAATTGAGGTTAGCCATGGCCCCGGTACTCTTTTACAAGCAGACTGAGTCCAACCGGGGCGAACTCTGACAGGTTCAGGTAACTGGCCAAAAGGTAGTAAAAGGGTGAGATCTACCTTCCATGTGCAAATACCTGTGAGTCTGGAACATTCAGGATTCCTCTGAGATTATATAAGTGGAGAAAGAGAACTTGAAGGGAAAGTTGGTCAGAGGTGGATGATGAGTGTAGTGAAGTTGGGAGGGAAATACCTAAGTATTTCACCTATGAATCTATAACCTCCATCCCCTCCCCTGCATCCTGGAAGAGCAGAATTATGTTAGGAAAAAAGGAAACTCCTTACTATCCTGTTTTATTTTACTGAAGAATGACTGGTCATATTGTGATGTCCTTCAGCTAGTGATGAGAGACAAGTAGTTTTACGGGAAATGAGAAGGTGGAAGCAATTTCTCATTGGAATACGGTTGAGATGTCCCGGAAATCTCGATCCATGGAGGAAACCATACTCAACTAGCTTTGCACCTTACCTGACAAATCCATTTTTACTCTTCTCTTTCATCCCTCAGGCAGTACCGGAAACACGTCCTTGAATACATATTCGAGATTATAATTTATCTCATTTCAATAAACCCAGTGCTCCCTGCATAAGTAATTTACTACACAATCCCTCTAAAGTAAAGGGCTGCATGCAGAGAACTTATCTTATTTTAGAGGGGAAAAAAATAGGCCTGACTTAGCATGGTGTTTTCCTTGGTCACATGACTGGTGGACAGCAGAGTTTGCAGTGGTACCGTTACCGACCACCACTCACTTTCCACTTGGGTTCAGTAGACCACACATCTCTCTATCTGGTAAGCAAGCACCATGTGACTGCCTTTGTTTCTTCTTAAAACAAGCCAAGCTCATCTGATGCTCCCCGGATGATTTGTAATGAAGCTGAATAGTATCTTGCATTTCTTTATCCTTTCTAATTTATTTTCTCTATTCTTCCTCGTAACTTCTCAACTCAGCTCATCCTTTCACTAGGGCTGTAAGGATCGAGGGAGAGCCGTCAATAAAGAATTTTCCTGTCAATTATCCTATCTCCTCTCCACAATTAGTTGAGATGGATATCACTAACATTCATGTGACAAACCAAACAACTGAGGCTCCGTGAGGTGAAACATCTTTAAGCCAAGTCATAAGATCAGAGCTGGCATGTGGAGAGCTGGAATCCTGGTCTTCTGGCCCTGACTCCATTCTCTTTCCTCTTAGAACACAGTTCCTTGTTTTCCTTGGTGGTGCAGCCTGTGAAACACTGATTGCGCTGCAAACCAAAAGGCTACACTGCTCTGACTGTTCACATCCACCAGGGGCTCCAAGGGAGAAAGATGGGCAGTTTCTTCCCACTAAGATGTACAGCAATCTGATGGAGGGTTGCAGTAAATGGAAACAGGCTCAAGAGCAGTGAGGTTTCCTGAATTCCCATCTAACTGTCTCTCTTGCTTGTCCTGAGATGCTCACCACCTTCCCTAACCCCGATCCACTGCAGCACTCCTCTACCACTGGGCTTCTTGGTAGGGATGTTTTGAGAATCCAGCCCTTTTGCTTCTCCCCTCCTACTTGGCTTATGCGTCATTATTTCTCTTGAAGTGGAGTTAGTTACTCTCTTTCCTGGGAGACTTGATCATGACTGTGATCACCAGCCTACTGCCAATCCTCACTCACCACCAATTTCTCCCCACATCCCTACAAATGACTCAAACTAAATGTGTATTGCTCTGGAAGTCCTATCTGGCATGTGGTTGCTTATTTAAGGGCTCAGAAAAGTCTTCAAGGGCTATATCGCTTTAGAAATGCCATCTGCTGTTTTGGTGCTAGATATTCCCCATGACAGATTCTCGTAACAATTGACTTTAAGGCCTAGGCCTGAACTTTCCTTTGCTAGTGCTTGATGACAATGAACTTGACTACTGAACTCAGCTGACCCTGTAAGCACTCTGCCCTCCTGATCTTTATTGTCAATCAAGACCTGCATCACAGCCCCCACTCATGTGTGGAAATACCAGGTTCTTGCCTGCCCCAACCCTAACCGTTGGTTTCACAGTCAACTTGAAAACATTAACCCTTTAGTTATCCCTCCCAAAACATCCAGACTATTTCTTCTCTGAATTTCTAGCTTCTCTATAGATGGGAAACTAGAATAAGTGGGAAATGAATTTTTCAAACAATGAACATGGTGGGAAATGTGTAGTAAAGTGAGTGAATAAGCCGGACAATCCTCCACTACTCCTAAAAGTCCCAAAATTACTTGATTAAAATGAAAACTACATGGTCATTGAATCTGTAAACCCACCTGGCTTATCTTTCCAGGAAGAAGCAAGAGCTGAACACATTCTAGAAGATATTGCAAGATAGCTGTTTGACTTAGAAAAACAAACAACTTTCCTCTTGCCTCCATTTATAAATGTGGGTGGGGGCACAATAACAAACCCAACCCCCATTTTAATGAATTCATCTAGTTGCTATAACTGTGTTGCATTAGTATGTGGTGTGTTTATTAGTCCAGTCATCCACTCAATTCTGAAACATTTTCTACATCCATTTGCTATCAAGCAGTAGCTTAGACACTCTCTGTATCCTGTGGTTTTAGGTTTGTAAAACATCATTGTGCAAACATTTCCCAATTGCAAAGACTCTAACATGAAGACATCTCATGCCTAATTCAGCCTTTTTCCTTGTCCTTTATAGCAGCTCTCAGTAGGTATGCACTTCCAAACAAGGCTGTATTTACAGACCAGACTTGACTTCTACCACAGGCCAGCTAAACATCAGAGCTGGTAAACTGTATTCTCTCTCTCTCTCTCTCTCTCTCACACACACACACACACACACACACACGCATACGCATTGTTTGGCAGGAGCTGCATTTGAGGGACAATGTGTGCAAGTGGGAGGGTTGCACGAAAGACAAGTGCCTGTGTGCTTGTTAAAACACCATCAAACACAATCAACAAACTCCTCCAGTCTTGCAACGGGTGGAACTCTTCCCGTATTATCACCTTCATATTGCTTTTTCTAGATTTTCCATAGCAAATCTTTTTCCTAAACTCTAGAAATATGGTTCTTGACCAAGACCTCAACAACTCAATGCCTGTATGTAGTGATTTTAAATAAATTCCCTGTTCATCCAATAAAGTATCTCTGAAAACTGTCAGCCCTGATTTTGTTCTACTTATATGCATCTACTACTATGAGCACTTGCTATTGTGTGCCATGAAGTCGGAATCTCCAGGTTTTCAGAGGCAGTAAATTGCATAGGACTGTGCACCTTACTCCCGAAGTGCAGCAAGTGGATTCAAACTGCATGCCTTTGTGTTGGCGGTGCAGGTCCTTACCACCAGGCGCTCCTCCTGTTGTTGTTGCATGCCAGATCGGCACAAGCTCATAGCTGCCCTTCCTGAAGGTTCTCTGAGCTATTAAAAGAGGCTTCTCTATGGCTTTTTAAGTCTCAGCCTCACTTCCTCTTATCACCCCTGCTTGCATCACTCCTGAACCCACAGTTGGTAGACAGTGAAAAAAAATCTTAATTAAATATGCTAAGTGTGTGATACACACATCCCGTCCTCCAGTGCAAAGGCCACAAGGGTCAAACAAATGACACCTGTATTCTATATTCTTCTAATGCACAGTACATCAACAGAGAAGAGGGTGTGAAACTAGGGACATCATAATCACTATCAGGTGGATCTTGGCTGAAAGCAGAGTATCAGAGGAATGTCTATCTGTGCTTCATTGACTATGCTCAGGCATTTGACTGTGTGGATCACAACAAACTGTGGCTAACCTTGAGAAGAATGGGAATCCTAGAACACCTGACTATGCTCCTTGAAACCTATACTTGGACCAGGAAGCAGTTGTCAGAACAGAGCACGGAAACACCGCATGGTTCAAAATCAAGAAAGGGATGTGTCCTGTCTCCATATCTTTTTTCCCCCTCTCCATATCT